GTTAGGAAAGTAGTATTTGTCCTCTGAAGTGGAACTTGTTCATATCAAAGCTAAATATTGCTGTCTAGTTAATGGACGAACGCTGTGCGGAGTATGAGCTATGCTTATGTAACGCAAGTAGGCTGGCCAGCGCACCCAGCGATGTGAGGAATATAAACATTTATTGCTTACACGTGTAGGCTGATGTTTTCGAAAAATCATTAACTTACATCTGATTTTTCAGTTCCCTGTATTTCAATAGATCTGATATTGACAAAACGACGATCATTGTTTGACTCTTGACTATAAAGTAATTATTAATTACTTCCGATGGAAATATGTTGAAATTTAGATAATATATATAATTTTCGCTTCCATGACGTAGAGCGTCACGACTCGAAATCATACGAGGCCTTCCATGAAAAAATATTATTGATATTTTTTGTTTCTAAATCGGCCTTGTTGCCACATAAGATAAAGACAGTGTTAGAACCCAACGCGTGGGAACACACGTGGAAGTGTTATCTGCGCGTGGGCCTAGCATTGCCAGTGGGTTACCCTCAAGTATATTTGTCGAGAGACGGGTACTTATGCCAAGGCAGCCGGGACGCAAACAGCTTCAAAGGCGAAAACAGAAAGCATGAGAGAGTGAATATGACCGCGCGATTCCTTCGCAAAAACATCAATCAATGTGGATCCTTCTCCGCATCCCTCTGAGTTTGTCTTTTCATAGAAACCAATACCTAAAGTCCATCCGCCGATGCTCGAGCACACCCAAAATTAGCCCCGGATCAGAGGAAGCGGACTCGGAATGCGAGAGGCATGTTGGAGCAACACTCTAATAACAAGCTCTAGGGTTAAATCAATGGGACCGGAGCTTAAGTAAATAATTAACTAATGCAAAAACATTTTGTCTTGATTAAGATCACAGTGGTTTCATTTGAAAAGAAGAAATTTGTCAGACTCGTTGAAACTGTCCGTGATACCGGTGTGCTAATTAGTGTGGCACAAGACCATTGCAAACCAGATCCAGATTAAGATGAGGTCACTCACTAACTGGTCCAGTGTTCCTCGGACAAGACCGGAATTACCCGATGTGATCCGATTGGCTGAGGAACGTTTTGTCCTCTGGTTGTCATCATCGAAACTAAAAGCAGAAGAAAAAAATCCGATTGGTTTATTGAAAAGTTGGACCGCCATTCGACAAAGCGGACAAGAGTCTTCATGGAAATGGTGTATTTGATTTACCGATCCAAGCAAAGAAGATTAATCTTTGAAGGTTTGGTCATTATTTGAATGTGATTCTGGTAAAGAAAACGATCGGTTTGAAGGTCAAAGCAATAGCGTATTCCCTGGTTTGTTGCAAATTTGAACATGATGAGGAAACGAGTCCAGATTCCTTTTAGCTGGAGGTTTTTAAATTTTATTTAAAGCCGGGCGATACTTCTATTCAATGTCAGTTATTAGGCGTTTATGACGAGAAACAAACAAATCGCTGCATGTTGATCGCTCCCAGTGACAAATCCGATCTCATTCTAATTTATTTTCCTGCACAAAGTTGCCGATGGTAATGTATCTATTGGCTTCGTAAATATGCCTGAGTGTATGACGACATTGATGCTATTCTCCTGAATCGCGAATTTAGTAATCTTATAAGACCCTTCTACTACGTTCATACTTCTTCGTCGATAAGATATTAAAGTTCTAAAATCACACGCTGGATTTGCTTGTGAGATTTGATGTTTTCCAACACGCGAGTCGGTTCTAATCAGTAACATAACTGCTTCATAAGATCCATATAGAATTATAACAGAAGAATTCTATTGAATTGATTCACACCAGATGCGTACAATGTGCTGAAGAGATATAGGTTTGCACTCTGCAGTTGCGTCCCTTGGCCGTAACTATATCCAGTCTTGGGTTCTAATCCGAGATTCGGTATGTGGTTAACTCTTCTACTTCTCATTGCACTGTTATCTACCTTAGCCGTGCCAGGATCCACGTTAGTCGTTGGTTCGAATCTCAGATTTAAAGTGATAGGGGACTGCATGGATACCCCAATCATCATATTCGCTGCTACTCTCTCTGCGGTTGCTTCCCTTAGCCGTACCAGGATCTGCTAGTCGTTGGTTGTAATCTTAGGTTCAACCGGATGTAAATTCATGATTTTCAGCACCAAAATTATAAGCATTTTTTTCCTTTTTTTTCCACACAATCAGCCGGTACAATATCTGGATCTCGTTCAATCAGGAAGAGGGGCACATATGGCCCAGTCGTCTAAGGCGCCGCGATTCGCTGTGCAGAGTTTAGTCCCTTGGACACGCCGGAAACCTATGATTGTGGGTTCGAATCCCACGACCGTGAACTGGAATACTGTTAAAAGCAGCGTTAAAACCAACCCACTCACTCAGGAAGATCATCAAAGAGCATGGGTATAGTCCGTATTGAATTTATTCTGGTCAGTGTGGACACTCGATAATACAAACAGACAAAACAGTCCATTCATAATTAGGCAGCTGAACGCATTGTAAAACAGTGTAAACATTTTATGCTATCATATTTTTATGAAAAATAGGTTTGACCGATGAATAATACAACTTGAAGATTCGAAGTAGTATGAGAATTGAACACTTCAGTTGTGTACTTAAAAAGCGCGAAATGCGTCTTGAATTCGTGAATACTGAATGATGGATCGAAACGAAACACCCATCCAACATCAACATCATGAACGTCCGTTTAATTGCACTCAGCTATATGACGACGTGTTAGTTCTCGCTACCGCTAAACAAAGATCTGAACACATCCCATTACGGTTCACGTCAGAACGACCTTTCATCCGACCAATCAGAGCGTCGCTTACCAGATTAGGAAAGTGACAGTCGGAATGTGATTTATAATCATGCAACCTCGAAAACTTTATTCCCAACGATAGTTACGGGTTTAACGACTGAATCCATACAATCTATCCCATCTATTAGCCGTTCCAGAATGTTCTTTTGTTCAGGTTTCAAATTTGTAATCGAGAATTTGTCAAAATATGTTTCGAAGCGTAGTCGCCAATTTGAAATTAGTGCCGTAAAGCACGAGAAAGCTGCCTTCTGATTGGTCATTCCATTGGTCGGTCAAAGTTCGCGCAAGGTCGGTCTGACATGACCCGTAATGAGATGTCTTCAGATCTTTGTTGAGCGGTAGCGAGAGCTAAGATCTGATTTTAATGAGATTGTCGTCGGGCTTACGAAGACACGCAGTCAACAAAGTCACAGTTACCTTACCCGTTTAGTCGGCGCTTAACCAGCGTAGATTTTCTGACCCGGAATCTCCACTAGGGGAAGGGGGGTGGATGGGTGGTTAAGACCTAAGATCTGAAAAAGGTTCTTAGATCTTAAAACAGAGATATTATCATCTACACACAGTAGTGACATACAATATAACGGACCCTCCCAACCTGAAGTCCCAGCATTCCTTTCTGACACACAGAAATGCATCGCTAATTACCATTGCCGACAGGTGATAATTGTGTATGCGCCCTGGTTTGTGGGGCGGATCTGCCACAACCCTGAACTTTGTCCAATACTCTGCACCTATACATTGCTCTCCCCTTTGTCACATAAGAGGCTTTTCGCGTTAAACTGAATTGTTGAACCTTTTCACAATGTTAACGGGTCCAGATTTTCTAGTTAAACTGAAAGGTGGAACCTTTTGAAATATAAAGCGGATCCGGATTTTCGCGTTAAACTGAAAGGTAAAACATTATAAAATATAAAACGGGTCTTGATTTTCTCCTTAAATTGAACGGTAGAACCTTTTCAAAATTTAAAACGGATTGCGAATTCTCTCGTCAAATTGAAAGGCGGATCGTATTTCAAAATATAAAACGGATTACGGATTTTTCTGTGCGGTTTATCAGGCGCATTTTTGTACAGCGCTCGCCATTTTTTATATCGGTGATTCAATGTTCGTTGGTGAAGAGTCACGTTTCGCTATGAGTATGTATTCCGAGCAGCTGTGTGTGATTTGAGTCATGTCAGTTTGGTTGAACAGGCTAACAATTCACAATCAGGCTCCTAACACCCTCCGAAGTATGAAGTTATATTTGCAAATGCCAACTCATTCATTCTCCCAGACATGGAGTGTATTTCTCACCATGTGAGACGTTCGCCAACGATTCCTGCAAGTTTTATATCAACCGTGTTTCAACTGGAGCAAGATTAGTCCTGTCTCATAGCATGAGATGCAACTGGTTCCTTAATCGACGTTCATGGCTGTGCGTGCTCGGCGGTAGCGCGCACGTTCTTTATCTAGCTTGTCAGCTTGGCCATATTTAACGATCCAAACTTGGCTGGGTTTTTTAGGCATCGAATGATTAAAAAACGTTACTACAGTGCAGTTTATTCACACAACATCATCTGGGTGGAAAACTATGTTAAACTGTTTTGAAATAAAATAATAGTATTTTGGAGTTGCATATTTTGGCTCAACTAAGCAATGAGATTCGCGTAATCGCATATTTGGCACTGGTGATGCTAATTAATAGTGGTTTCTTTATTGAGCTGATAAGGTTATAAGTTCTTCAAATAAAAAGATCGTGTTGCTAAATCTTTGAGGGATGGATGTAAGCTAAGACAATGGCCTGTTGTGTTGATTCATTTTACAAGCCATCATAAAATCACGTAACGACTTTGTAACACAGCGCTAATCTTGCCAATCGCGCAACGATGCCACACAATTACACGATCAAACAGTAGGTATAGCGATGACACGCACGTGTTGCTCCTTACAGGGCATTAGGGGCCAGATCCACAATGGCGGTGTGAGGAGTTAAGACCTAAATGAAAACAGAGCAACTTGGTGTTAATGCGTTTATGACACAGTTGATCTGGAGAACAATTAAGATAGGCCATCTTATCGCGAATCCAGATTCCTAGTTATTGAAATGACAGGTCTCGCTTACCGCGAGTTATGCAAGACGTGTTTGTTAACTATTACCTGTACCTTGCACGTGCGATAAAACTGAAGTAGATTGTTAACGTATCGGAGTACAGGGAAAGAGTCACGGCTCTACGCGGCCGATCTGTTGGGATCCTCTGAACGCTGTGAGGAGTTTGCTCACTCTGCTACAGCCAGAGTTATACGAGCGTCACTCGGCGCGGCTTGGAGTAAGTTGGAGTGAATGGGTTTGTAGTAAGCGGTTGCAGTTGTAGTAAGATCTATACCGCTCCTGTCGAACTGACCACGCTGGTGATTGGTAGGCGGGTCCGAGATCACGTGACTTTATCAGCACGCGCCAGGTCACATGGTTACTGCCAACTGGTGTTCGCCTGTGGGATTGTGGTATAGGGGAATTCCTGTACACGTCGAAGGAACATCAATCAGCTGGCCGGTGGATTCTATAGGTTGTCGCTCACAGTCGGAAGGAGAGGGGTAACGTTGATCATTACATCGCGACTGGTAGACAGAGCCTGCTCAATGAGAGGATAATCTCAAGGGACGCCTGTTGGATAGCGGCAACAGTGGACGATATAATTATACCATTAAATCAATGAAAAGGATTGAGAGAGTGTCCGAAATTTGAGGACTGGAGAGTCACACGGAACTGAAGCATGAATAGGATGTGTCATTGATGAAAAAGGCTATGGGGTTACTACCGACGAGAAAGTGTTCAACAGTTTGAAACCCTGTGTGATTAATTTTCTTAAGTTTTCCAAGTGTTGGTCGACAATCTCTAAAACTGGCGCTGAAAAAATTCTCTGCTTCCTCCTATTTCGGAAAGAAATTATCCTCGTGGAGGACGAGGTTCGATGATGTCATCACTGACCAAATCCACAAGTGGAAAGCCAGTTGCACATGGGGCAGACGACACCCCAGCACTGGCACGTGCGTTGCCAAAGCAACCGAGACCAAAGAGACAGAGGCCAAAGCTGATGAGCCTCCATCACAAACCCAAACCATGGCCCTGACACCTGTGTCCATCCTGTGGTCACTACTGTCCATTTTCGTGGCCTCAACATGTACAGTGACCTTTTTCTACCCTGCGTGGGTCACCCACCCGGACCGACTCCATTCATTCGGGGTGTTCAGATACTGTGTGAGGAATCTTGAGATCCTCATCCCCACCCCTAGGTGCATCAGCTACGGAGGCAACCCCACCCTGGGTAGGATTCCTGCTGGGGCGTGGCAGGCCTCGTGTATCCTGTACGGAGGGGGCTGTATTCTTATGTGTGTGTCAGCGTTATTGACAGTCCTCGTGTTGTGTGTGGACAAACGTAAACATAGACGCTTGGCGTTAATCAATGGCTATCTACAGACTGTTGCAGGTAAGACCACGGCGAAATGTTCAAATTTGATTTGAGTGTTGTTTTCAAATACTTGACCTGTTTACAGCATAAACATAGTAAGGAAGCAATGGCCCATACCGTTGACAGTCTTAGCAAATTGGAATCAGATTATTCAAACGAGAACTTTACCCGTCTGCTGGGATAAATGTAAGCATCTCGATCAACTGCGAATGCATGCTTACCCTTACACAGAAACACTGTCTCAATTTCTCACAAGAGACTAAATGTAACGTCAAAATCTACACCGAAATGGACGACTGGTTTTGAGCCATCGTCTCCCTGTAAAATGAACACTGACAAACATTACAAGTTTTAGCGGTTAAACACCGTCCTATATTTGTATGCTTAATTGTTCTGCGAACCGTTTTCACCAATCGTTTAACGGTCATAACAACTGCGGGATTACACAATTCAGTTTAAAAACACCCTGTTCATAATTCTCTAACATCTACAGCTGTCCGGTTTGGCAAGTGTCCGGATTAACAAATCATACGTATTAGGTGATGCTCCTTTAACTATATACAGACCTGTACTGCAATAATAATGATAATAATAATGATGATGATAATAATAATATTAATAACAAGAACAAAGTTTCAGATTAGCATTGTCCGGATTAACGAGGTTTCATAGTAAGACAATGGAGCGACTGATAGTCCTCACCGCCAGATGTTTCTGCCAAAATGTCATCTCTCATGTAGACATCCCTCTGTCCCACGTCAATTAATCATTAACGTCAGTGTTCACTAGACCGTCAGTACACGTACATACTGCTGGGGCCGTTCCAAGACAGCAGAGAAATCCTAATCCCGCACAAGCCTCATTATGACATATGTTGTGCTACCATACTCCAACAACGTCTAGCCACTGTGACGGTTTGTAGACATGCCGGAGGTTTATGTCTTAAATCTGTCTCACTTATATTATTTGGTTTTTTTTGTAACCATGTCATGAACTTCCCCCTCACAAGCAACACGGTGCAACAGTTTGTGTTTTTTACGATATTCTTTCACTCTGTGGCTGGGTTTAGGGCATGAACTTGATCAAATCAAGTTTCTGTTTCAGTCTTGCTGTAAATCGTCAGAATTATCCTTTTTGCAGAGATAAAGTCTACACGGTCAATTAAAGTCAATTAAACTTAAATTAAGTTAAAGTGATGCGGGTTCTGCTTTGGTACTTTTAGATTAACGCTTATAGTGTTGATAGAAACAAGCAACTACATTTAAATTCAAAAGGATACCCAGTGAGTTTCACAATCTGTGGAAAATCTAGACTTGCTTCATTTAGGGCTCCAGCATTACAGTAATATAAGGGCTTGCCGGAAGGGATCACAGTGAGATTCAGGGCTGTAAGACAGACTGCATGTCGTCTCTCGTAGTTCATCGCTTCAACATTCAAGTGACGTGGAGTTTAGACACTGAATAATAGTTCATCACAGGTTATATTTATTTCCCGAACCGCTGATATACGACCTACTGAGTATAAAGTATTTTCGGCTGATATACGACCTACTGAGTATAAAGTACTTTCGGCTGATATACGACCTACTGAGTATAAAGTATTTTCGGCTGATATACAACCTACTGAGTATAACGTACTTTCGTCTTCAGTAGGTATGTCGCGACGTATCAGAGGCCACAAAATGTCCCAGGCGAAGTTAATTTGAGATACGTCAACATACGGTTAAACCCGTTAATCCGGATCGTGAATTGTCCGGAGATCCGGATTAATGACGTCCGGACAAGCGAGGTTACACTGTTGTTCGCTTGTGCTCGGGATCCATATTTCCGATATGACAGGTTGGCTTTTACACAGGACGAAATACTATTTATTAAGCCCTAACGTCATTCATCTTAGTCAGTCGTGCAACACTGGAGTCTAGATCAGACAAACCAATGATCGATATTAAGAGCCACGTTCCACGCGGTTAGGTTACGATGACATGCAGTCAACCAAGTCACGAGCCATCACCCGGTCATTTTAGTCACCTCTCCTACCACAAGCAGACCGCCCCCGTGTCTGAGTGGGGTAGTCATGTTTACCTGCGACATGGTATCTCAGTGAGCGAGAACTATAAACATCGGCATTAGTCCGGACACGTATAAGCAGCCACACACACTATACATGGAATCTATACATAGCTTATTAGGTCTAAAATGACACGTGCGAAAATTCCGTTCCGATCGTCAGTTAAAGGGGTTTGTCAATGAAATTGAATTCTCCGGGGTTAGGCCTGTGTCGCCTATATTGGCTAACCAAGTAAATCTGGATATACCCCCTGAATTATGCCTTTAAACGGTGCTTCGGATTAAACCGCACGTCACATGCAACGCAATCAGTTTAACTACATATGCTAGCATTGACCCAGTGCGCACGGATCCCCAAATTAATTCTGACATTCAAGCAACTATACAATCCAAAGCTATACATCTTAGCGACTGCCAGTTAATTCAAAAGCCTCCCCCAATAGCGATGTAAAGTTCATCAATCCTCTCTGGGCAATGTATAGGAATCGCGATAGCTGTAAGGCAACACGCTCGTTGCTGGAGGGGACCAAAGTCGCCCAACAAGACCGCATGATATGTACGCGTATTATCAAGTCTCTTATGTCAATTAGAGGTTTAAGACAGTAATGCGTGGCCCGTATTGCTTGGCATAACCCTCCTTACCCCATGTGGAGCTTCACAACCTCCTCTTGAGCTCACACTCCACTCAACATGCTGCAATGGCAGGAGAATTGGTCTTTATTGGCCGCAGAATTGGTTTTCACTGCCGTTCTGTCATGTAATCAATCAAACTATCAATTTGAACAGGACGCTAGCAATTAACCCTCCTTATTGTTTATCGTTGGGGAAGGAGCTTCTTTGGCCTATTCATCCTTGAGGAATGTTACGACTGCGTTTTGTCCATAATCGTTTGGAGACATGAGGCTGGAATGCATCTGAACGAACAGAGGGTACATTGTATGGGTGATTAGGTGGGCCAATTCGTGGCGTGTTTATGTGGTATTGTAAATAAACAAACATACCGTAATTACCTTGTTAGTGGAGCAATGGTAATACAGAGTGCTTTCCTCCTCGTGGGAGATGTAAAGATGTTTTTTTGTTATATATGACTGTATCGTGTAAAGCAATACAACAACGCGTCTCCCGCAAACCATCGCTTCAATATGGAATATAGCAAGGGAGGATTATATGGACCCGGAAATGAACACCATCTAACTCGTTAATCCGGACGGTACGGTTCCCGTTGAAAACATCCGCTGAACTAGTGTCCGGATTAACGATTATATGTGTACATGTATACCTTCCAAACATTAATCAGCCGATAGGCGGAGTTGTCGGATTAACTGTTTCCGTACTAACGCAGTTTGACTTTATAAGTGAAGTAGTACAGTGGGTGCGTGTTCGCTGGTTTAAAGACCAAAGACTTGGGTTCGATTCCTATATTTTAAATACATAGGACTGGTTCTTATACTCCCGCTGTCTTGATCCTATAATATTGGTACAAATCCCAGCATTCAAACAGGGTGATACGTGGCACCCTAACATACTCTTAAAACAACAAAAATGACATGTAAATATGAGTTTGGTTTAGTAGCTGGAATTCAGACCTGCAAATGACCAGAAGACGGTTGAGAAATATGGCAGATTATCCTATATCATATGTTTTTCTATTATATTACTAGTCTCCCTGGCTAAGACGATTGGGCGTTTGCCTTGAGAGCAGGTTGGTGGTTCAATCCTCCGTCATACCAAAAAACGTTAAAAGATGGCACTTGTTGTTAACCTGCCTGGCACACGTCATTAGGGAATAACATGACTGGTCGGCTGGGAGTCAGTATGTGTCTGAGTGGGATATCAATGTTGAACTGCGGCATGGTATCAATAGGCTAGCATAAAAAAAACATCGGTATTAGCATAAACAGTCACACGCACACGCACACGCACACGCACACGCACAAGCACAAGCATACGCACGCACGCCGCATTAAAAGTGCAATAATCTTGAACGCGATTTTAAACCCCAACTCATCTCGCCTCCATTTCACACGCAGCACCTTTAACACGGAGAATAGCGCGATAAGACATTGTAGGTGCGCTTCATACAGCAAATTGCACCCTTATCTTAACGTTAGGACCAGTGCTACAGATGTACGTGGGGAATGTTAACATCCAGCGTCTCATCCTGATACACTGTATCTCTCAGACATTCAGAGGAAATCGGATCGCTTTCGTATCCACTTAATGCTTGTATTATTAGGATAGTGCGACAGCTTTATAGTCTGGCTGATAGGGGGAGCCGTAGGTGGAGCGGGATGCTGGGACGTCAGTCATCATGCAGCGTGGTGGGCTACTGGGATGCGGTGCCGTAGGTATGAGGATTAAAGGAAGTCATCGAGTCGTACTAAAAGGCTGGCAGACTTGAAGTAACATGTGACCTCATTATACTGTACGACTACGCTTATATGTGAATGAGTGAGTATGGATTTACGCCGCTTTTTAACAATATTCAAACAATATCACGGCAGGGAGCACCAGAAAAGGGCTTCACATATTGTACCAATGTGGGGAATCGAACCCGGGTCTTCGGCGTGACGAGCGAACGCGTTAACTGCTAGACTACCCCCAGCACCCCAAGATCACATGTATTCGTGTTCGGAAATACAGAGTACCAATAGTTGAAATGTATACACTAAAAGGCAAAAGATTTTACGCAACGCCTACACAAAAGCACCGCATATCTACTCAGGACTACGACGTGGCTACCACAAACGATGCGGTTTAAATAGCAGTACTAAACCAGAGAGTGATGACCGAACGCGCCTACCACCTGGCTACCAATCTTCTTATTAGGGAATCAAACCCCTCATTGTTTAAAGCTTTGTCGCGTTTGACTTGCCTGTGCATGTGTTTGTGACGTGTTGTGGTATAATCTCTGTATGATAGTGATTCATATACACGTGCTTGTGATATAGT